TACCTCTACTTCTTGTTTACTTCCGGTATACTGCACGTGGGTTTTTGTATGCGGTAGTGGCGCATACAAGAAGTTCCTCTACTCAAAAGACCAAGATTCCTTGCAATTGGAACATGCGCAGTACACAAATGAAACATAGTCATTGACTACGTTTACACACACCCAATTTTCGGGTTATGGTTGGGTTTTGTCACTATTCGGGTTTCTGAAACATTAGGAATAACCCGTTTACATGCGTGAGCAGAGAGAGTTTCTCCTGTATACATGGAATTGCAATATCCCAATGCAAACGGCGACGCGCTCAATATGACGCGTCATTTCTGATTCTTCTTCCTGCATCCAAAGAAAACAACAACAGCAGCAGCATGCGGATAATGAATAGTTCAAGGCAGATAGTGATCGCCTTTGTTTGCGCTTTGATGCTGACAATGTTACTGACCTCGTTCCAAAAGTATGCTGTACTGTGTCTCGCCTGGTCTCGCCATGTTTACTTCCGGTATACTGCACGCGGAGTTTTGTATGCGCCGAGAAGTTTCTCGACTCAAAAAACCAAGATTCTTTGCGAATAGAACATGCGCAGAACACAAATCACTATGGGGATATGCCGATACGCGTTTATATGACCAAAAATTCGGGTTAGAAAAGGGGTACCCCAGGTATAACATCCCTGTTTTTAAAATCGGGGAAATGAGCATATTCGGGTTTTTGCCGATGTTTACATGGCCGTTTGCGACCAGGTTATTTCTAATATCCCGGTTTTGAACAGGTTATTGGCTGCATGTCAACGTAGTCATTGATGTTGTATGCAATGCTGCTGTTATTGTTTACATTGGGATATTGCCAATTGATTTCAAAATCTATATATACTTGAGTAACTCTCTCTGCTCACACATGTAAATGGGTTATTCCTAATGTTTCATAAACCCGAATAGTGACCAAACCTGACCATAATGTCACCGGGTGATTAAGAGAATGACTGGCAGGTGTTGAGGGGGAGGATCTCAAGTGGTGATTGGGGCACATGCTCCCAAAGTGGAGTATAAAAAAAGGCCATTTTGAAGAGAAAGGAGCGCTGGGGAAGAAAGGAAAGAGAGAAGACACAGGGAGAGAGGCACAGAAAGGCAGCGGAGGGAAATCGCGAAAGAAGAGAACTTGTGGTATTTTTATTCCTCACGGAGTATGGAGAAATCCCAAGCCAGCGGCACGAAGGACCCCGGCGGAGATATGAGTGGAGGCTTAATTCACTAGGAGGTATTGTGGATTGCAGTGGCTAGTGTGTAAACAAACAGGTTTGAAGTCTCAAGTGTTTTACTGAGTGCAGGAAATTCTAAATTCTACTTCCACTCATTGAGCCGGTGAGCGAATGAGAAGCCATGAGCTGTTACTGACCCTCTAATGTCTAGAGCTGGAGAAACCATTTAGCCGGTGAGCGAATGAGTAGCTAAGAGCTGTTGCTGATCCCCTGTAGTTCAGTCTCTGTCGCCAGGAATGAAGAAACACTGAGCCGGTGAGCGAATGAGAAGCTGAAAGCTGTTACCGATCCTCTGCTGTTTTAAATAAACTTTTGTACACAGTTAACTATTCTAGAGCACAAGGTGTCATGTTGTGGTGTGATATGCACCAATAAGATACAATATAAACAGTATTTAATAAATGTATACGCAGGAGAATAACTGGAGTGCATAAACCACAAAGCAAAGACAAAAACCAACGAGTAACTGAAACACAGGGCAATATATACTTGAGATAAACAAAGGCAAATCTAGACACAGCTGAAACCAATTAGTAACCAAGGCAACTAATAAGGGTTAATCAAGAACTAAACTGAAAGGAAACAAGAAACAGAAATGCAAGAATGAAATGGCAATAAGGGTACGTTTACACAACAATAATGTAATAAAAATGGAAACATTTTTCCTTTGCGTTTTCTGCATAAAACGACAACGTTGTTAAAGCAATCCCCGTTCACACAGATCCGCAAAAAACAACTAAAAACACCATTATGCATGTCAGTGATGTCAGTGAGTGCTGTTGTCACTTGGTAAAGGTTTTGGAACCTTTTGCAAAGGTTTGTGCTGTCTGCATTCTTTTCAAAAGACTTTTCTCTGTTCTGCTTTAGGAGATTGAGATAATAATACATTTGTGCACCTACGGTCCACAAATTAGTTTTATGCAGTCATCAAGTCTGTCATTATGTCTGCTTAGCATTTGAGTGCCGCAGTGTGAAAGGATGAATAACCATTTCAATGTTGTTGTTTTTTTTTTCCGTAATCTCTCATGCTCTGAGGTATTCATGGTAGTATTTGGACTGAAAATGGCTTTTTTTTTAATGACTCACGCTCACGCACACCTGTGAAGCTCCAGCTCAGGGACATAGCACACAAGATGTATGGCATCAATTTTATTTTTTTTTAGGCTTGATTGACTATTTGGCAATAAGAAACACACGCCATACCAAATTTCCCATTTTGTTAAACCAAGCTGAATGTGATACGAAATAGAGAGTTAAAAATAAGTTATCTGGTGAACTAAAAACAAATAAATTACAGGAATTGGAGGGGTATAACTTATTATTGCCTAGTAATCACTATTATTACTGCTCAGACTTTTGTCTTGAAAAACAAAATTTGCCACCGAACTTCAGATTATGCTGATTATTATTTTGAGACTGACTATTTTCTTGTGGTGGATGGCATAATGGGCAAAAATACACTACTGTTTAAAAGATTGGGTTCAGAAAGATTTTTCATCAAATATATATTAAATTGATCAAAGTGATTTATAATATTCTAAAAGATTTATATATTTTAAAATAATGTTGTTCTTCTGATCTTTCTATAGGCGAACTTTCTATTTCTGTATGTTTTCAGCATTAATAATAATTAGAAAGGGTTACTAAGCAGCCAATCAGAATGATGTCTGAAAGATCATGTGACACTGAAGACTGGATTAATGAATGCTGAAAATTCAGCTTTACTGTTACAGGAAAAAATACATTGTGAAATGTTTAAAAATAGAAAAGTCATTTGAAATTGTAATACCATTTCACAATATTACTGTTTTACTGTATATGAACAAATAATCAATTATTAGAGACTTATATTTTTACGAAAACCTAAGAACCAACCGTAATATGATAAACACAACATATAAAAGGACGCATGTTTACTTTATTAGTTTCACATTTGTGAAAATTAGATGGCAAATAGGATCACTACATCACTGAAGCAAGAACATATAATTTGAAACAGGGAAACGACAGTACTAGAAGTAGAAAGCATTTGTTATTCAGGGAGGTCAGAGAGCTATTCAAGCTGAAAGGCAATAAATACTCAAGCATCCTTTACTTAACCTGGCCCAAGATGCGTATCTCTGAACTTACAGCAAATTGAACCTTGCAGAATGAGTCCAGCAGCAAAAGGCTATGCTAAGGTCAACTAAGAGATCATGTAATGTAGAAACGGATTTGCAATATAACCTAAATAGTTTATAGAGACAGCCTCAATAACTAGTGAATCATTGATAATACAATCTTTTTTTTTTCCAGTGACAGGAAGATGATATTTATACTAAATGTAGCTTGGCATCAAGTGCAAATAAATGCAATAGTATCTTGTTTGCACAAAGTGCAAAAAGCTACAGTATGAATTGCTCAAACAACACCATCCCAAACTAGATTATTCAGTCCCAGATGAAGAGATTCAATACACCATCAAAGTAGTTTTACTGAATAATGAAAAAGGATGATTGGAGTCACCCAATAGTGAATAAGTTTATATAGCCATGAATCATTTTAGATCCTCTGACATATGGCAAATCTAATAGGCAGTCAAAAGCAGAAAAGCTTCATGTACTCATTCCCAGCACTGCCACTGGTAAAAGCAGAATCAAATCATCATATCGGTCAAAGGCTTTCCTCTCTGATCCTCCTAGAGCACGGACTGCACTAACAGTAGCACAGTGCCAAAGGCACAGCAATTATTTATTAACGTTCCTTTCCTGTGCTTACCTTTCCATTCATTCCCCTTTTTTGATTTTGACAACAATCAGAGCCCATAAATCCAATATATTTTATAGAAAGTGTGTGTATTAAAAGTATTTTCATAAAAGCTTGTAAAGGAGCCAAGGTAATTTACTCTGTTCGGTGTGATGGCGAAACAAATTACCAAACATTGCTTTTGGAATCATTTTTTCTCAAAAAATGAATCATTCACAGACTCGCAGCCCTTCAATTGCAGCATGTGAAATTTGACAGTTCTGTCACCGAAACTTCCTTCCAGTGTGGTGAAAAATGAGAAAACATGATATTTTAAATTTGTAAGTATGTCAAACTCAATTTATTTTTCACATAGCTTTGGCCCAAGCGGCACCCATTATCCAGCTGGATCAAAAAAATTTATGAGAAGTCTTCTTCAATTGCACTACTTATGCTCTGACTGACAGTGAAGTCTCTCACCCTTTATCTCTCTCGAACTCAATCCAAAGTGAACATTGGTGTTAAATATGTCATGGAGCTTCGATGTGGGTGAAGATAGATCCCCTTTTCATTTCTTTTACAAAACTCTTTGAATGGTTTGAATAGAAACTCAGTTTATACTTCTAAGTTCTGAACCAATACTTTTTTTTCCCAATCAGCTTTAGATTCTCAGTCACATTTTTAGAGTGGAATGGAACTGTTTATAAACTGAGAATATCATAATTGGACTGAGAACACAAACATAATATTTGAAGAATATATTGAAAAAAAATATAGGATTGTGCTTTATGGGGTTAGAAAAAAGTTTATGAGTACAAGCAGTCATCCAATTATTAACTGCCATGATTGCAAAGGATTCCCACACTCTAAACAATGCTGGGTTGTTTTAACCCAAAATTGGGTAAAATATGGACAAACCAAAATGTTGGGTTAAAAATGTAATTTTACTTCAACTGTACATTTTTTAATTACATTTTTAACCCAACATTTGGGTTTTTCCATATTTGACCCAAAATGGGTTAAAACAACCCAGCATTGTTTAAAATGCATAAGTGTGACAATGATTTAATTAGATGATGTACAATGAGAATGTATTATTCCTTCTGAAAAGGAGATTTTGGGTTTAAATATTTTCCTCTACCACTAACTGTTGCATAGTTTATGTTTCTTCAAAATTAGTAACAGTGTCGTACCACAAAGTTGACCGAACAATAATGTGCAACACTGCATAGGCATCAGAGTCACGTTGAAGCAGACATATGAACATCATTTCAACTGTTGCAAACAATCTAGGACAATTATTCAATTAGTTCAGATTCTAATTTTATTTATTTTTTCCGTTCTGAGCTGAATGGAATATTGTACCAGCAAAATGGCAAAACCTCACACAATGTTTAATCACAGCCATTTCAAATTATGATAAGCCCACTTTAGAGACATGAAGAGTGAATTATAAAGCTTCTGCTCTGTTCACAGTAAAAAGAGAATTACAATCCATTTATTTGATCACTTTTGTTTGATCATCAGCTGTGCTGTAATGACCTGTCAGTCATTTTGAAGATATCATTCACAAGTATATGGAATAGAAAAGGAGAGAAGCCCAACATCCATAAAGACAGATGTTTCATAATATACAAAAACAACCACAAAAAAGAGGCTGTTTTGCTTTTATAAATTTACAACAGCCTCATATATCATTCTTTGCATTATATCACTATGATATTTTGAACAAATGGGAGACACTGTACAAGCATAGCCACAAAGCTTAAATAATTTATAATCTGATAAATAAATCCTGTCGATAAATAAGTGTTATTATCATCATTGAAAAGTGTAGTCCAGTAAATGGCTATTTTGTATACTTTTTTATGGCATGTTAAAGAGCAGAAATGCAATGGTTTGTTTCACTGAAGAACAGTTAAGGAGAGTCTGTAATAGAGCTTCGTTAGAGTCAGTACTTGACGAACCTCGCAATACTCAACCACATCAGGGCAACTCTCTCTTTCCATCTGTCATCCGATGACAACCTTCTACTCCCTAACCAACTGTGTCCATTTTGTCACTCTCAGCTGGAAAGAAACTGCATACTTTCTAGAAATGTACTTCTCGTCTTGTCTTTTTTGTCACCGTATAAAAGGAGACTGCCTTTCATGTTACATAGCTCTCTAGTCACAAAGACACAAGCCATATGTGCATACTCATCATAAAAAATATCTCTTGATAACTTCAAAGTGCCTGCAGCCATAATAAAGATAAGCCTGTTTCCTCTAATGCAGTACAGTGCTGCCCAATTCAGGAGGCTTTTTTTTCCCCAAGCATCTTTAGCTTTTTAGTGCCACCTATGAGACCAGCCTCTGTTGTCCTCACAGATGCAAGGAGAGCATTACACAACGGAGTAGCAAAACACATCAAGGTCATTGTTGTGTACAGATTGTCAATGCAAAGAGAGTGGTATTTTTGAAAAACGTCTTTCTTGTCAACCACCTGTAAATGGCACTGGATGCTGCAAACTAGCTGCCAATGTTCTCTAAAAAGATCTTTTCCAGGGTTTGCACAGGATCTTCTGAAAAGCTCGCCGGAAGTCCTGGTTGAAAATTGTGTAGATGACGGGGTTGAGGGAGCTGTTGCAGTAACCGATCCAGAAGAAGAACTTGAAAAGGGTGTCTGGGATGGCGCAGGGCTCCCTGCAGATCCCATACAGGCTGTAGCTGAAGAAGAACGGAAACCAGCAGACCACGAACACTCCCATGACCACGGCCAGCACGAAGGTGAACCGCTTCTCCCGTGCCTGGGAAATTTTTTTTCTCGAAATGGTGTTTCTCCTTTTTCTGCGGGAGGAAAACAGGTCCAGGGATTTGCTGCTGGCTCTGGACTTTCGGCTGGAGTGCTTGGAGCTGGAGCTGTTCTTGCGGCTGGATCGGCGGTCTTTTCGTGAGGGCCCCGTCTCGTTTTGCACCCGTTTGGCCTTCTCATCAGATGAGCTGCTGTCGTCCAGATCGGCATCAGGGTCATCCTCGCCTGCTTTGCGTTCCCCCATTGGCGGCGAGGGACAGTGCCCATTTTCTCGCCTGGAATCCTCACGGCTCAAGCCGTTCTCCAGCCGCGGTGTTCCTGACGCGCCGTCCGGGTCGCGACGCTTTTCCGACATATTTCGGGTTCTCGTCTTAGCCACCTGGTAGATTCGGATGTAAACAAGGATCATGATGACACACGGGGCAAAGAATGACCCGATGCTGGAGTACAAGATGTACCACGTGTGGTCATTCAGCTGGCATTGCGGTTCGTTCTTGTCAACATCTTTATTCCGGTCCATGGAGATGAGTGGCGGGAAGGAGATTACAGCCGAGATCAACCATACCACCACAATCATGCCCTTTACCCTGCGAGGCGTCCGCTTTAAGTTGTACTCGACCGCCTGTGTTACAGACCAGTACCTGTCCAGACTTATGGCACACAGGTGAACAATAGAAGATGTGCAGAAAAGCACATCAAGTGCTAGATAGATATCACACCAAACTTTACCAAAAAACCAGTAGCCCATTAATTCATTGGCCAGAGAGAAGGGGATTATCAGTGTGGCCACCAGAATGTCCGCACTGGCTAGAGACACAAGAAAAAGGTTTTGTGGAGGCTTGAGCGCTCTGCTCGTTAAAACAGCGATAACGACCAGCACATTCCCCACAATTGTAAACAAGATGAGGAAGCTCACCAGCCCCGCGAGCCCTATAATGGTGGCCGGAGAATAGCGACTTGTAGAATTCCTAGAGGAAGTGTCCACTTCGCTCGTAAAGCTTAAGTTATGCATATTGAATCAGAAAAAGCTCCGCTGTCCAGTCAATCGTCCACGCGCGTCTTCGCGAATATTCTGTTCGTAAGTTAGTTGCAGGTTTTTCTCCGGGTTTTTTTTTTTTTTCTTACCTTGTATTCTTATTTTAATCCCGTTCGCGTCATTTTCTTTTCCAGACAATTCCTCTTACGGCTCATTTGGTTGCGGCTTTGAAAAAGAGACCCATCCCGTGGTAAGTTTGAAGGCACCATCACCGTCTCTTACATCCGTGCGACCTGTTCGTCCTCTCACTGGCGTCTCTCTCAGCATCCTCGCACTCTCTCCACCCGAGCGAAACACCGCGCGCTCTGCTCTGCGCGCCCGGGACTCAACTATCCACGTGCTGACAACATTAAACTGATGGAGAGCCGCCCCGCCCCTGGAGAGAGTCAGACGGAGAGGAGAATCTACTGCTGAACTACCCGAACACCGTTTAGCTTCATTTTGTATGTTACCCTGGACATATCAGACCATAGCGCGTTTTTGCGTTTCTGCTTCAGCGGTTTATCTTTAGCCTACGTGTCTCTGAACATACCTCAATTGCTATAACATGGGCAAACAAAGAAAGGACAGTAGGCTTTTTGTTAGGTAGCCTACTGTAAGTAGGAACAAATAAATGTGTTTTGTTTCAGAGTTCTTGGCATTGTCAGGATAATGTGTTCAAGGGTGGGAAAGGGCTGTGAACTGTAAAGAAGAAACTGTCGCTTTCGACATTGTGCTCGCTGGGTGTCACTGTTGTAACAATGGGATTGTGCTTTTAAATAATGGGAAACCCCCAAGCCAACCATACTTTACAATTCACCTTTTTTCGCTTTGGTCTTATTTTCACAAGTGTCCGACTAATATCAAAACGGATAGGTAATCAAAAATAAATTATTATTTACATAAAACCTAACTGGAATCATTTTATTTTTGTTTTATTTTGTACGTAACAAGATAGTGAAACATTTCGTTTTAATATAGTATTACCATTGGCTACCAGATTTTTATTTATTTTGTGGGGACATTTTTTGGTCCCCATGAGGAAAACAGCTTATATGGCTACTATAATGTAAAAATGCAGAAAGTTATCTTTGATTGGTATGTGTAGTGTTATAGGTTATTTGTACCGTATAAAATCATTATTTCTATGGAAAGTCACCATAAAACATGGAATCCCCGGGTCACACTTTGTGTGTGTGTGTGTGTGTGTGTGTGTGTGCACTTGCAACTCGTCAACATACTGCTGCAGAGCAAGAGAGACTGCAATGGAGAGCAACTAATCAATGATTTTGTGAGAAACCCATCGGAGAGGTTAAAGAGTTGGCCATCTGAAGAGATGGGCATCAGAGAGAAGGAGACAGAATACAGGAAACTTATCAGTGATGCCCAATGAAGTTCAAATGAAGTCCAGATCTTTTGTAAAGGGTGCCGTGTGATAAAATGCAGAGGCTGCTAACTCATCCTGAACTGAAAAGATTAGCTTCAGTTTATATTCATTCACTGTAAGAACATTTTGTAAAAAAAAAAAAAAAAAAAAAAAAACATACATTTGCAGGCATCGGTGAATGGCATTAGGGCAGGTGCATACCAAAATCCAGTTATAGTGTTTAAATTGGCGCAAAACCTCACAACAGTGTCATATCATCTTTGATCCACTTAACACATTGGATTTATTGATTTTCATGTCAATTTGGTTAGGAAATGTGTGTGTGTGTGTGTGTGTTTTCACAATGTACAATCAAGTTTTTCATTAAAATTTAAACGTATATCTTACATGGTTTCATATTAAATTTACTAAATGTTAAAGTTACCAAATTGAAAAAACATAAATAAAATGAAACACAATGAAATGTTTAGTTGTGTGAAAGGAAAGACAGGTTAATGAAAGCTTCTTTAGCTTAAGTACTACCTGTAATAGTTTATACTTTAAAATTGGCACTGTGTGCAATGAATATTATTTGGTACCCATCACAAATTGTTTGTGATGTGCCTCATTTGTAAATCCCTCTGGTTAAAAGCGTCTGCTAAATAGCTATCATTTGCATGAATTACAAGCTTTCATCAATTTCGACTTAGGTGCCAAGAATTATTAATCGTACATGTGAAAATTACTATATATATATATATAATAAAAAAAATCTGTTTTGTATAATACAGAAATATATAAACGTTAAAGCAAAGTTGGTAAAAATTCAGAATTAAAGAATTGACTCCCTTTTAGTTTATGGTTTGTAATTTGATTTGCTCTTTGTCAAACAGGAAGTTGAATTGAAATGAAAGAAAATGGAACTTGAATTCATTTCAATTATTAAAATGATCTCCCTGCATCCAAATAAGCAAGCTTCCCCATAAGTTGGTGAAAAACAGTATGTGAGATAAGGTTTCCAAATCAATAAGGTGAAAAACCTCTGGCAGACATACTTATAGTTATTCTTATGTACGATTTTATACATTCATATATATATCAAACATACATTTTTAATGGTAACAATGTGAGATTCAAATCAAATATAGAGCCTATGAGAGAATGCAATTTCAGACACAGCTTGAGACATTCAGCAGGTAATTCTGTGAAGTTGTTCGTATAGATCACAGATCTTATTTTAAACAGATATGTGCTTGTCTGTAAGGCCCAAATCCTCCAAGTAGTTTAGTTTAGTTAAAATGTATTCTGATATTCTGCATCCTTGTTACAACCTCAATTTAAATAAAAATTCAGGGATTAATTTGGAATTCAAATACATATTCTTTAATTCAGAATGGCACACTGCCTTATATAGAAGAATACAAATATTGATAATTTCAGACTCTCCGTATGTGTTCTCTCCTGCTAAATGGTCCGGTAAATTCTAGGAAGTTTTGTTTTGGGACACTTCAGGTGGACGTGTGTGTGCATATGCATTCATGTTGCTGAACATCTAGTGGCTTTTTTTGCTTGAACAAGGAATATACGTATGTGCATGAGTGTGTGAACGATCAATTTTGTGACACACACCTATCTGACTGCGTTGGCTTCCTGTTGTTCTGTTTCTGTTGTCAGTTGTTCGCGTGTGTGGTTGGGATGGCCTACAATTCAGTGCTGTTAAGAACAGTAGAATTTGACCCTCAGGCTCTGCTCTTCTCAAAGCTGATTTGTATTGAGCCTTCCTGGCTTGTGATCATTAAAGGTTCCCCTTGGGCCACACTTGTGTCTGTTTAATTGAAGCATGTGTGTGTGAGTGATCCACATCATTACCTTGAGTTGATCCCTGTTCTGTCCTTTCTTCCCTCTGCCCGTGTTGGATTGACATGTGAGCAATACAAACGCAAAATGATGGAAAGAAAACCAATGCACAATTTTAGTACATGTCTTGTAGGGCAATCTGAGACATCCGATTAAAGTTAAGTGTGGTTGGTGTTTATAACTTTGTAAAATGTTGGCAACATTTTGCAGTGAGAAAAATATGAGTATCAAATGTAATTTTCTGCAAGACATTTATAGGATCATCAAGGTTAATGGATTATTCTGTAAAGTTAAAGTTAAGAACTGTATCTTGCTCACTGAGTGACAGTGTAAAAGGTTACCTTGGTTTTGAGCCAAGGTTGACATATGAAGATTGATTGAAAGAGTGTAGGCAATTATTTTAGCAACTCTGTGACTGCTGACAGCTAAAGAGACATAAGTGTCTATCCACATAAGCCTACAATGTGTGTGTGTGGTTCAGGTACATACTGTAGTGGGGACATTTTTTGGTCCACATGAGGAAAACAGCTTATGAATAAATTCGTTATTATTATTATTATTATTTATTGAAATTCAGGAAGTTTTCTGTGATGGGTAGGTTTAGGGTTAGCAGACAGAATATATCATTCTCTATGTAAAGTCCCCATATAACATGGAACCCAAAAGTGTGTGTGTGTATCCCACTTACAGGCCCACACAGTCAGACGCCATGAGTCACTCTGGCGGGTTTGATTTTAATTCCCTATAGTCGGCGGGTGCACAAAGTGTGAATTGTAATTCGCATCAACAGCAGGATTTGTTACAACTGAATTTCAGTGCATCAATCACGATTTTTGACAGTATTATTGAGTAATATAGTCAATTAATTTATTAGTTTGTGTTTCATTCAAATCAGGCTTTAGTAAATTAAATCAGAGCTGCTACTAAAGGAATTTGTAAGGGCACAACTAGTAGTTGAACTATTGTTTTAGAAAGTCTCTATTTCGGGTGTTTGTGTAAAGCTGTAGTCTGTAGCTTTTTTGGGTTAAAAATATCCAAAATACATATTTGAGAAAATACCTTAGCTCGAATCGAAGTGGAAAGCTTGATAGGTCAGAATGTCAACAGATTCAATAATAATAATACATTTTATTTTGTAAAACCACTTTACATTTAAAAAAAAAAAAAAAAACTCAAAGTGCTACAGGTCTGACCATAAGAACAATATCTAGACATTTTTAAAAATCATAAGATCTGCTAAAAAGTTATGTCTTTAGTCCCTTTTTAAAAGTTTCGATGGTCTGTGGTGTCTTCAGATGGTCCGGGAGGGCATTCCAAATCCGGGGAGCAGCAGAGCAAAAGGCACAATTGCCCATTGTGCAGAGTTTATTTTTTGGTATTAAGAGGCGGTTTGAGTTTTGTGATCGGACGGATCGTGCTGTAGAAACCAACCCGGTCTCATCCCAAGACGTCATATAACTGACGTTTTGGGACGTCTTTTGACCAGACGTCAATAGCCAGGGCTTAAACGTCGGTAGATGAGGTGGATCCTAACTCTACCCCAGACCTAAACCTAACCTAAATGTCTAACTGACGTTAAAGTAGCGTCAGTTGTATGACGGCCCGGGATCGCCATCTACCGACGTTCAAGGGGGCCCTAAAAAGGCGGATATTGACGTATGGTCAAAAGACGTCCCAAGACGTCAGTTATATGACTTTTTGGGATGAGACTGTGTTATAGAAACAGGGGTAAGTAGTTCTTTCAGGTATACAGGGGGTGAGTTTCCATGGATGCATTGGTGATTCAATGCATCCATGATTCAACACATTCACCTGCTGTAAAATGCAAAAGACTTTGTTTAGACTTTGGAGTGGCTACAGAAAAAAAGTGACTGGACTCATGCGAAAACAAGGATACATATTGGAAGGACATTACATGCAGTCACACAATGCTGATGTTGTTAATATTAACAATTTGAGAACAAAGTATAATTTGCACAGTTTTGCATGATATGATAACTTATTGTTAGATTGTTGGATTTGATCAGTTTCGGTTTACTGCAATGTCAGAACCAGAACAAAGGTGGATGTTTCTTACTTGGTCAGATGACATTTTCCAGTGAAAATTCTTATGTTGGTCATACTTCCAAAAAGAATAGTCTGATTCTGAATGCCAGTATCCACAACGGCACGGTGACTGACAGCCACACACTTTCCTCAAACATTGTGTTCATCCACGCTGTGCCGTATCGAGGGTGTTGAAGTACAACTCACCTCAAGTTGACAATTT